TATGCTGTAACCGTTACGGTCTGCAAGTGCAATTTGTCTACCCGGACGACCGACTGGTGCGGTGTAAATCTTGTGAAATTGTGCTGCAGAATTTCAATCAAGCGTACGACTGATCGGCATTTTTGTAGTGTGTCGGTAAATTTTGTGAATGAGTGAAATTAGGATTTTCAAGGACGAATAAAATAAGAAACAACAACTGGAACAAATATTGCAATTTTTGTTGCGACGCGAGGAGTAAAGGCGTGATAATTGATTAAGAATACTTCAAGTGCAACCAGTGCAACAGTGTGCACATATCAGATACCTGGATTATAATTAAATCATTTCCACGCTTTGAATTGCTTATGCTAATAAAATGCACAGCGATGTCATGATGTAGAGAGTGAAATTTATTTGAATGCGTAGTTATGGTATCGTGTGTTAGTTTAAACGCGTTTCCTTCTGCATTGTGCATTGTGGTTTGGTCCTAGATTTTTCACGTATTTTCTTGCAAAAATTGAAAAACCAATTGTTTAAATTGGTACGAAGCAACTGTTCAAGGGAACTTAATTGATACCTAATTTGGATTGCTAACTGTTTTTTTTTTCTGTCGTCCCGTTTTTTTTTTGACCATGAAAGTGAAAGGAACAAGAATTTCGATGAAAAGTGCATGGCTTGTGAATTTTGCTTTTATGCTCCATTTACTTTTGCTTTATGTACAATGTGTGGTGGATCGGTTTCCGTTCACCTTGTCTCGATTTTTCTTTGACTTGTTTGTATGTTCTTCAACAAGTGAACTTTTCATACACGTTTTTTTTTTATAATCGAGTGCGAGGATGTTCTACGGAATGTCTGCGCTGTCTGCGGCTTACAAGCCCAAGGCAGACAGTGCGTCAGAGTAAATACCTAGTAAACACTCATTTTGCCTATATTTATTGTCTACATTACTGGCCAATTGTGTAGGTGTTAAAAGCGTGTTTTACTCTGCTAGATATCCACACTTTGAGCACTTAGATACGATTTCTTAGCTGTTAACTTTACATTCAATAGTTTTTTGGAGCATATTTTCCGTTTCCAAGCATTTGTTAAATAGGCTGTTAATTTTTTTTGGACATTATGGTTCAGGGAAATGAAAGCGTAAGATCCCATAGCAATTTAATTAAGAATAAACTTAGTATGACGTATTGCAGCATTTCCCACTGCCTTATGTCATGTTATGTTATGATAATTGTTCTAGTTTTACAAAAATCGAGAATCGATCAGACTGAAACTTTGCATAATTATTTGCTACGGGCAATCATTCACATTGGAATTTTGAATCTACGATTTTTCTCAATATTTCATTTTTCATACATAGGGCAAATGGATGTAATGTCAGCCTAAATGCCCCTAATTTGGATCCATAGATAAATTCAGCAATCGACTAAATATACAATAGCGACCAAAAATATCCATTAGTACCGTCTCAATGACTTGATAAAATTGGTAAATAGCAAATGTTTTACGATAGGTCCAATATTAGAGCCCTTTCTCCTACGCTATTTTTACTCAATAGTATTGAACAAGAACATTTTTTAATTTATGTTTGTAACAGTTTTTTTTTATGTTTTACAGAGTTACTTTTTTTACCGTGAATATTTTACTCAGAAAGATTTTATAGAAGTGATGTTTTCGCGCTACGTTTTATTGAAAAATGCGGATAAGCCATTTCGAAAAAAAAACCTAGATTTTAAAAAAACACAAATGTGATTGATTTCCCTTATCAATCAATTATGCAAAGTTTCATGCAAATCGGAGAAGGTCGAGTCAAGTTTTTTTGCCATTTGACTTGGAACTGCTCATTATTAAAGTTTAAAATTAAAAATATGTATATATTTTTGAATGGTTATTTTGAAATTGTTATTAAATAAGTATATAAGTTTTCATGTATTACGTTTGCTTTTTATTGATTTCCACACCCAAAGGCAACGACAAATAAATTAAGGCAATTTTGGAGAATATAACCTACCAAATGATTTTCGCTAAGTTTATGATGCGTTGAAATGATATTAATTTGCTCTAGTTAATCATGTGTTGAAATCATGAAAGTGTTGAAATCTTGAAAGTGTTGAAAACTTGATCAATACGTATTGTCTGGTGAACACTTGATTTAACACGCCTGATGATTACCAACGTCTTAAACAATGAATGATTAATTATCTTTACCTGTTATTCAACAGTAATCTTCATCAATGTTTAAGATAAGATTTTCTTCAGTCAGTCATTCAAAGCGGCAGATGGCTTATGTCCAGCCAAACACTAGCCAAAAGATAGATAATAGAGAATATTAAATATGCAGTGGTACTTGTGGGGAAGTTCTGAACTAATAATTAACACTAATCGATGGGTCTTGTAATTAACAAACACACCTCCAAAGACACCCAGTCGAAAAAATCACTATCCAATGCGCAAATAAAAAAGTTCACGAATTTGGTCTTTCAAAACAAAGTACCTCTTTTGGTCCAAATTTCAGCCAAAAATATCAAGATTTTAAATTGATTACGACGGAAGAGCTTCTCTAGGCAATTAAATATTTTTTTAAAATTTGGACGATAATCGAAGAGCTAATTTTATCAGCATAGCTTTTTGTAGTAGTTTTCCACTCATTTATAAATATATTCGAAAACGAAGAATATATTGTATATTAGGATGCATTATTTTGAGAAAAGTACACTGGAGTCGGTTTTTACGTGGTTTTTGTCGTTTTCTCACAAACGGTAAAAATTTACGACATTATTCGTTTCGGGAAAAAGCAATCAAATGGTGTACTTAATTTTTTCACTATTTTTGGTGTAAATCCAGTAATAAAACAAAAAAATATATATTGAACATAGAATGGTAAAATTACATAAGCTAACATAATCCAAACATTTACACATGTTTAAGCATGTGAATTTTTCAGTCCCGGTTCATCTGTTTTCACCCGCTACTTATCCCTTGCGTCAAAACCGACTCCATTGTATTTGCAATCTAATAGGCCGCCGTCCAGTTTGATTCATAACCCCAAAATATGAGTCTACGCAAAAATGGTAAAGATTGATAAAGATTTAGAGGTCGTACAAAAGTAGTTTAAATTTCTCAAATGTTGCTCTCAAATACACTGTAAAATCTAATGTCTTAAAAATCATATATTTTTTTTTTTATTTTCTGCATACACAATAGAATACCGTAACTTTTTTCCATTAGTGACATCTTTTGCGGAAATCAACCAAGATGGTATTCCTTTGCTAAAAACCAATCGTTTATTGAGTTTGACGCACAATTGATCCGGTTGTGATACTTTATGGTAAATTTGACAATTAACCCATGTTAACTGTCTGTCAAATTTATCGTAAAGTATAATATCTATAGTTGCTATATTTATAGTCTCGCGGATTGAATTTCGATTTTTCAAAAAGCGGAGCCAATTCAATATATTGTAGACCTACAATTTAAAAGGTACTATCAACTTTTATAAACAAAATACTGATTATTCTTTCCACGCTATCTTCTTCTTCGCATTTCAAGCTTAATGCTTATCGCATTTTAGCTTATTGCGTGCTCTCAACTTAGTGTTCTAAGATGCACTTCCACAGTTATTAATTGAGAGCTTTCGATGCCTGGAACATTTTTGCATTAGTATAATTGTTTGGCAAGTACAATCATACTCTATGCCCAGGGAAGTCGAGAAATTTTCCAACCCGAAAAATTCCTAGATCGGACCGGGAATCGAACCTAACTTAATTATTAATTTCCCAAGATCTACGTTTATTATTTGTAGAACGCTTTAGCTACAGCAATCTGCAAATTTTAAAATGATTGAATGTTTCATACTTTCCTATCCTATCTGAGTAGAAGAGCACATCACCTTTCAAAAACTGCTTGTAGGCTCATAAGAAGATTGTACAAAGAGTATACCTGTAAGTGTAAAGCATTAGTGTATGCAGCTGTTGCTTAAGATCTTGCTTTAGATTTAAGATTCAGTGACCTGAACATTTATTATCTGTTTACATTTTCAATAAAATCAGTTGGGATACATCGAAAGATTTTTTTTTGTTTCTTTTTTGTGGCCTGTATAGAGGAATTGTTCACAGTCGAACTGTGTCAATGAATCATTCACGAGATTTGATTTTTATACGTGGACGTATCACTGCACAACCTTGAACTTCATTGCCATTCCTCGCATGGAAACACGTTTTTCGGATCTCTGTGACATAACCCGACCACCGCACAATCGAAAACAAAAGTTGACCAAATTAACAGACCACAAAACTTTCGTTGATCTTGTGTTTTACTTTGTTACTGTGTTTCTCGATCTTCTGACAGATAATTGGTCGTACTTTGATGATGCACCCTCCGCATTATAATTCGCCGGTTTTGAGCATTTGTTTTGTGTGTCTGTCCTGGTAGAGCGTGGTAAAGGTTAGGTTTAGGAAACAGGTTTTCGTATTTACGGCAAATACATAGTGTCCTCCACAAGATTAGCATAATTCTTGTTTTAATTAAAGTTTGTAACAGCGTCGGGTTTGTCAGAATACGGGAATGAAAATGAGAGCGAAATGACTCTGTTGCAAGGTCACGTTTCAGCGCCGCACAGTTTGATGAACTTAAACGACTGATCAAAAGAGGAACCTGTTGCACTCTCAAAGAAGGGGATTTCCTACGCAGAGATTCATCTCATCATCGCTTTTGGAAAATCCAAGCTACTATAAGCGGAATGCACATACACAGTGAACGTTTTATATTCCTACATACATAAGTCATAGACCGCTAAAGTGAATGGCATTTAACGTAGAAGTGAGTCACCAATGTCAAAAATCTATAAACCTGCTAATGGTTTTGTTGTTCGATAATTAAATAGGTAAACAGGAAACGATGACGAATATTACAAAATATACAAAGCTGTGACTTTAAAGTGCAAAATAAAAGCAAAACTTGTGCATATTTTTTTTTAATTATTATTAGTGACTCAAGAAATAAATAGTCAAAGTGTTTTTTTTTTCCTAAAAGTGAGAAGCCTGAGGCAAACATGGTTCAACGAAGATACCTCTGTTATTTGTTAATGATTACTTGCCTATCTGGCGTGCATACACAGGATCTCATCAAAGGCAAGAACACAGCGGATAAACAATGTAAGTTTATGAGAGGACAGGAGTGAGAAGGTGATAATTATTAATTTATATACATAGAATTAAGCTTACAATAATTGCTTGTAGAGCATTGAGGCTGGTATAAGCTGTCAAGACCATTTTCATATATTTATGTATCAACTTTGTACGCACTTGGTTATGTTTACCGGAGATTTGCACAGGCGTGCCCGGTAATTTTTTTTTTTCATGAGGTCACGGCAAAAATGACGTTTAATTGCTAATTCTCGAAAAATATTTTGCTGAATCTGCATCTACATATTTGCAATATTTTCACATGAAACCAATGGGATCGTTTGTTTACTTGATTTTTAAGTATGAGCATGAGCATGATTGACCGTCCGCGGATGCTACTCCATTATTGCCAGATCAGCTATAATTACACAGAGAACCAACAAATGATGCTTGGAACTAGCAATCATCCTCAATGTTTAAAAATTGGTGATCTAAAATTAGGCAATACCAAAAAGGATTGGGTAGGAATATGTTGACGTGACACTCGCTTTGTTGGAAGCGGAAGAGTCCTCTGCACTTCCACGAGACATCACTGGGATGTTGGCTAACAGGGTTTGGTATGCAGCAAGGTTCGTTTTGGCAACCGGTACGCTGAATTAAGTGATGGGTTACGTGATAACGAATCTTAAATGTGGAGGTGCCGAGATTACACTCTTGATGCTCCATTAAAACAGTCGCTCTAAGGCCGCCGAGCACAATGAGATATATACAGGTGAGGCAATGATCATAAAATGGTATTCGTGTAGTGCAAAATATGTCATAGTGTTTGTGAAGTATACCTCCCGTGACGTTAAACTCCACTTTTTCATGTCAATGTTTTAGGAGGTTTTCGTCAACACCTCTTTTTTGCTCTTAATACCAACAAATACCCTCTTGTGCCAGCCCTGCTTATGATCGAATTGTTGTAGTCATCCGAACCCGGCACCGACGAAAACGACGATAATTTTCATAGAACACGAAGAGCAAGAAATGTGACTATGAAATCCTTTTATATGATGAGGCAGCCGAGCGCTTCATATCAGAACACACCACTTATGATGGAGTTAATGCTATAGCTGGTCAAACCCAACGGCGGTGTCCCTTACACCAGAAAAAGCCGCGGCGATCGACAACCTTTCAAACCCGGAGACATGAAGCTACGAAAAAGCACTTATTCCTTCACTAAGTTATACTTCTACGCGATGTTCATTATTTTGGTTATGTTTTTACGTGAGATGACAACAGAGTCTACAAAGCCTTAATATTTATCGTTGATTTTTTATATTCAACTTGAATATTTTCATTTACCTATTATAAGTCTAGTGGTGCGGACTCAAACACAACGAATCAAAATGGAACCTGTTTTACTCTCATTTGATCTAGAAATAAACTTTGCGGAACATGTTTTCCGGAATTCCGAATTATGTTTCAAAATAAGCAAAAGTTAAACTCACCGAACAAATTACGCGAGAACGGCGGGAACAAATGAAAATCAACAACAATGATGAAAAGTTTTCAAGTATGTTTGTCAACTGACCCATACATTTTGTTTTCAGTTGAATTGGCCACAACAGTTTAACAGTATTTGCGTGACTCTTACGTTTATGTGTTACAGTATAATACTTTTCTCCATGTTAATATCAATTCAAATATGTCAACTTATGTTTAAAGAGTTTAAAACTAGAAAATGAAAAGTGATTCTTCTGCAAAATTTTCCCTCAGTTCATTCAGTAGAATGCAATCGTAAAAGGCTCAGCATGAAAATATGATAAGTGAGGAATCATGTACACTACTACACTCAAAATCAATACGGCCAAAACACGATCCCACAAGCTGTACACGACGATGCTGACGATGTTTGATTGCGTGGTAATGGACGACGAAACCTACGTCAAGGCAGACTTCAAACAGTTTCCTGGGTAAGAGTTTTATACGGCAACCGGAAGGGGAAAGGTGGCAGACATTTTCAAGCATATTAAACTTATAAGTTTGCTAAGATGTATCTGGTTTGGCAGGCTATCTGGACCTGTGGTTTGAATAGTGACATTTTCATTGCAACCGGGACAGTCAACCAGGAAATTTACGTGAAAGAGTGTCTGGACAAACGTCTGCTGCCTTTCCCAAAGCAACACGAACGTTTCGTGATGTTTTTGCGAGGATTTGAAATCCTGCCATTACGGAAAAAAGTCCATGGAGTGGTATGCTGCCAAAAACATGCAGGTGGTGCCCAAGGACAAGATCCATCCCAACACGCCAGAGTTCCGCCCGATAGAAACATATTGGGCCATCGTCAAGCAGAAATCGAAGAAGACTCAAAAACCTGTTGGAAGTGAGAAACAGTTTAAGACAAACTGGCGTTCTGCGGTGAACGAAATAGATGAGGTGGCTGCACATGATCTGATGTCAACCGGAAGCTAAGCTGAATATGTTTTCTGTATTTTTCTTGAACTTAAAAAAGAAAAATAATGCGGTCAGAAATTGCAAATTCTGCATACTTTTCATGCATATCTCTAATAGAATATTACATTTCCCGGTTGGGTGTAGGGGTATGATTTGTGTTTCATTGTTGTTCATTGTTCCCAAGGTTGGGAAGAATTTGCCACTGTTCGTGAGTTAGTATACTTGTACATCGTTTAACAACAACTGGTCATAAATGTACATTTTTACATGGAATCTCGTCATCACTGAGGATTATTTTTTGCATACTATTTGTTTTAAACTTCCTAGTGTTTTGGTGTAATTTTGGCCTGGAAACACTTTGTACATTTTTCAGAATGCATTTGGAAAGGCAAGGAAGGGTTAAGGCAAAACCGAGCAGCCCTCCAGGATCGAAATCTTTTACGTTGGCCTTATGCACCACTATGGGTTGTACATGAGTTAGAGTGAGATTAGGAAGGTCAGCCGAAAAAAAAAAATAATATTATAAAACAATGAAATTACAATGATTTTCACTGTTGAATTTTGAGTACATTAAAATTTATTGTTTAATTACTGTACGGAGGAAAATAAATTTTAGATTTTTAACGATACAATGCTGAAACAATGAAAATTAATGTGATGAGATTAAATTTGTTCTAGAAAAAACGGTTTTTTTTATTGTTAAGATGCTTAACAACCCCCCTTTTTTATTGTAAATTTCTCAAATACCATGATTTTCATTGTTGTGAACCATGAATTCCGTTGTGATTTTATGGTAATCAACAAAAATGTCCAATGTTTTGACAGTAAATATCATGGTTACAATAACAATGAAATTCATTGTATTTTTATTGGATTTTTTTACGGGTAGGACCCCGAAAAAAAAATTAAAGGGTTGTGTCCTAGACACGACCGCAGTATGACGTAGAACCTATCTATCTATCTCTATCTATGATGCATGATATATGCATTTAGGTTAACATCCGACGTCCCTCCTTTTTTACATATTTTGCAGAAAAAATACATCCGAAGTCCCTCATTTTTTCTTATTCTGCACAAAACATACTTTCTAAGCACCGTAACTACACACAAAAAATTATCATTGATAAAATTAAAAACCGTTGGTGGAAATAAAAATTTGCATAGGTTCTTTTTAGTAGAAAGTACTTACCTTTCAAAACGAAAGTCAGCCAACTGTCAAATCAAAAGTTTAACATATTATTAATTTTAAAAGTTAAAACTTTCAAATCGAATTGTAGAACTGTCAAACTGAAATCCTTATCCTTTTAGATTGACGTTGGAAAAGTGTTGCTTCAAAACACGGGTATTTCTTCGCAACTTGCATAAGTTTTCATCTCAATTACAAATTATTTTTAAATTAATTGCTTTTATGATGCATGCAGAAATTTTTTATTTATTTTTGTTTTTATTTTTATGCAAGTAAATTCTTAATATACATATTTTTATGTTTCATTAACATGTTGTTGGATGTTGTTTGGAAAAAATCTAACTCAATCTCGGAACAGAAAGTAGTCTTCGGCGGATAATGAAGGTTTCCTCCCAAATACGGGGTTCCAACGTGCAGCGGACTTGGGCGAACGAAAGTGCATCTTGCTTTCGTTGCTGGCCGGGTATGGATCGGGCGATCGGGCGTCTGAATTTTACCAGTAGGAAAGAACGGAGTCTCTAATCCCTATTGATAGCCACCAAAAACATCTCGGCTGTGTGCTCCAACGTCCCAAGATACTTTCGATCTGAAAAATTATCAATTTCATGTTCAAAATCATCCTCGAAATATGTAGACAGTAGTAGCAATCTTACCTTCTGCGAAAAACTCAATCTTTTTCACTGCCTCCAGTACCGGAATCGGTTCCTCCGGTTGTGGAATTTTGGAAGTGTACGATGCACAATACGCCTTTTTAATGCACCACCAATAAAGAGTGCGCCACGCGAGTTTCAGAAGAAAGTCAACCAAACCGTTTGTTTACATCAGAAGAAGTATTTTCCCCAACGCAAATAACAGCATTTTTCATTCAAAATCTTGCCAATTTCCATCGGTAATTGTCTTATTGTACGGTTTTCCACAAATCTGAACTGATTTGCATCTTAACTATTCACACACAAGAAATCCGGAAGATCATAACCACTAAGGCACTTTTCTAATTTTCCATTTTTTTCAACAAAAATATTCCTGAGCACCAGCAGGATCTTTTCAAAAATGTTACAGAATTATAATTTTTCAACTGTAGATTAAGTTTTGCAGCATCTCAGATGAATCAATTTATCAGGAAAAGTAAAAAAGTGTTCCGCTTCCTATGTCTCCAGGCAAAAATTTATGCTCACAACACTCTTTTTGACGTTCTCCTATTCACCACCAGAGGTTGAATCGATCGTTTAGTTTCTATTAAAAAGGCCTATTGATTTACTGCGGTCTAGTATCTTACCTTGTATGCCCTATTAGATTTTTGGACAATGACAATGAGCTTTTCAGGAGGTCATTTTGACATTTGTACAATTTTTGTTTTAAAAATGTGAACTTTTAAAATTACGTGCCGATAGTCAAATAAAAACTTTCAAATCATAGAATTCACTTTGAATATTTTCGTAGTTGAAACTACCAAATTCGAGAAACTTTTAATTTGTATTGGTAACATTTTTATAGATACTATTTTTGTTTTTTGTGTGTATCAGGATTTCCCGCCAATTTATTATGAATGGGGGCGGAGCAGAACGTTTCTTTTGGGCAGAATATGGAAAAAAGGATGGACTTTGGATGTTAATATAATTGCATATATAGAGGTACCAGATATGTTTTACAGTCAGTTGTTGGTAATTCATCGAGTGTATGTCTCCTATTAGGCAATATTTTTTTTTGAAAATGTTGGCTCTGCATGTAAAAAATAATCGTTCATACATAATTAGGGTTTGCTTAAAATTTATTTCTCGAAAAAAAAAATGATCGTCAAAGTCCATGTCTTTTTCGGGTTATTGTTAAGAGGGAGGGGGAGGGGGTTTTTAAGCGGGAGGGGGTTTTACATGCACGTTTTTTCAAGTCTCATTCCTCATTGTGGTGGACACGCCGTGATCCACCTTTAGCCGCTGACCTAGTCCTGCTTGATGCAGGACCTAGTGCCACGCCGTCCGAAGCGGTAATGAGCAGAGGCATGAGAGCAGCGCTGATTTATATCTTTTCAGGTTCAAGCAGAATGATGTGCAACCAAGTGGTATTCGTCTATGATGACTGGGTTTGGGAAAAAGGCTTATTTCATGAAATCAGTGATAAAATTATCATTTGTGCATTTTCAAAAGTTTAATTACAGAAAAAATGGAAAAATATTTATTTCAACAGGTTTGTAATGTAATATCCTATCGATTGGAGTATTTGGATTTTAATTTCATCTATAAATGACAAAGTTACAAGCTTTCAAAACCTAACACTCCTTCACCACACATATTTTTTGATTTGCACCCCAGTATAGTCGACAAAGACGTAGTTCTACGTCAAAAATAATTATAATAAAACAACGAAATTACAATGATTTTTACTGTTGAAATTCGAGTACATTAAAATTTATTGTTAAATTATTGTACGGGAGGAAAAACAGATTTCGATTTTTAACGATACAATGCTCAAAAAACGAAAATTAGTGTGATGAGATCAAATTTGCTCGAGAAAAATCACTTTTTTTATATTGTTAAGATGCTTAACAACCCCCCTTTTTTATTGTTAATTTATCAAATACCATGATTTTCATTGTTTTAAACCATGAATTTCGTTGTGATTTTATGGTAATGGACAAAAATGTCCAATGTTTTGGCAGTAAATAACATGCTTACAATGACAATTAAATTCATTGTATTTTTATTGGATTTTTTACGGGTACGATCGCTTTACATTTTCTCGGGCTTACATCTGGCAATCTACTAATAGTACTAAGCTCAAAATGTCAAGATTAGTGCCTATGAAAACGTGAGGTGAAATGATTCCGGCAATCTTTTCCTCAATAAAGCAATTTTTTTTTCTCATATGCATGGCTGATCAGAATGGAGTGGTTTTTCACTCAAAATTGCAAACATTTAGGTTACTCGTAGACTGAGTAAAATTTGACTCACGTTTCCTACAAAAACTGCTCGAATATAAGGAAAATTTATTAAAATTGTACTCAGTCCTGGAGTATGCTAATAGACTGAGTGAAACCTTTCTCGGTTTTCCTCATGTCAAAGAAGTTTCTCCTGAAAAATAGAGGAAATTTTAATGACCAACCTAAGTTTTTGCGAGCTTGAGTTTATGAAACTCAAATTTGAGTTGGTTTAGTCGGTCGTGTGACATGCAAAAAGATTCATACAAAAGGATATTTAAGTTGAAATTAGTATCATTATTTTTTTTATTATAGTCACTTGGGTCATTCGTGACTTGTCCAAGAATGAAATTTCAACTTGTGACTTTGGAAATATTGGTATGAATGTTAACCATTACGCCGCGGCTTTAGAATAATTAAGTTTTTGTGAATTTGTAGAACATAATAAATAAGTAAACTATGATTGTGGCTGTTATGTCCCATAAAAATCTTTTCGCCTGTCTTCAATTTAGTAATCTTTGAGTACTTCCACAGTTGTTAATTTATAGATTTGTTGTTAATTTTTCCAGTATTTTTGTTCTACGATGTTTCCCACCATATATTGGGTACTTCGGTAGATTATTTTGATCTCATGAACATTTCGTTCATATAATGTGAACCATTAAACCAACCTAATCTAGATTTGGGATACATCACTTTCATGAGTTTTTAATTTAAATGTCTATAATTAAACGCTCGGACAAAATGTTCACAATACTGTAGATATCATCAGGCTGGTTAGTACATAATTGATGTATAGGTGGAAAAATAATGAATCTAAATTATACGAAATATATCAATGCTTGATAAATGTTTCAAGGACATATTCTTCAGAATATTTTGTTTTTGGGAGAGGATACTAAGTAACCAACACATGATAAACATCGATCGTTGTTCATGATGTGTGGGCTTCTTAGTATCCTCTCCTATAAATTAAAAATAAAATGACTTTACGTCGTTAACCATAAGAGAAGGGATTCGTCAGAATTATTATTATAATTAACGATCTGTTTTTTCGTCTATCTTCTTCATTTCAGTACGAGTGTGCGTTGTTGAAGGTAGTGGTTTATATAAAAAGGGAGCACAAAATTGTCCAACGTTGGAAGAAAAATCTGATATCAAATGCGTTTACGGGGTCGACCGGTTGGACTGTCTGCGAAAGATCCAAAAGGGAAAGGCAAATTTTGCTGTGTTTTTCCCTGAAGATCTGCTAGCCGCGAGATGGTCGGGTGCTGAAATTCTAGTCACCAGTGAACTTCGTTTCCATAATGGTAATACAAAATAGAATAGGCTAGATTGGTAGATTTGAGAATAATTAATGTTTGATGGGTTCAATATTGATTTACAGAGTTTTTCGAATATGAAGTTGTAGCTGTTGTAGACAATGAGGCCCACATCAACACCGCAAGGGAACTGAAAGGAAGCAAATTTTGCCATCCGGGTCACGGGATACAGAATCATTGGTCAGAAGTTTTAGCAGATGTAAGTTTCTAGTCTCAGTCGTTGGAATTGACAAGTTTAATGACTTATTGTGTGTCGTTTCAGTATTTCGAAACAAAACTAGTACCCCGTGAATGTGAAGAAGATCTCTCTCCAACTGAGTCGAGAATCAAAGCCGTTGCTAACTTCTTTGGCCCTACCTGCAAAGCTGGTCCTTGGGTGTCAGATCCGGTGGAAGACAGAATTTTAAGTATGACAATTCAATTGTAAGAGTATTTTGTTCATGTGATTAAATGTAACGCATTACAGAAAATAAATATCCGTCATTGTGCCAGTTATGCTACAACCCGTATCAGTGTGGCATCGGTGACAAACATTGGGGTCGACGTGGACCATTATACTGCTTGACTAGCGGAGCCGGTGAAGTCGCATGGGTTCGTTTGGATGACGTTCGAAGTCACTTTGGTGTAGGTGTTTTTGCTGATAATGATATTGCGAATATTGTAATAGTTTCCAACGTTTTCAGTTTAGCGGACTTCCACCGGAGGCAGATCCTGCTGGGTATAGTTTTCTCTGCCCGGATGGCCACTTACAACCATTGAACACGAGAAAGCCTTGCGTTTGGTTGGCAAAACCATGGCCAGCTGTTGCTGCTCAAAGGTAAGCTCATGTCATTTGATGTTTTTAGGTGAGGTGGTGATACTTCGTGTCTATAGGCTATGGACTATGGCTGACTTCGTGTCTATACGCTAGACTATGGCTTATATCATGTAATATAAGCTGTCTTGCAATGAGCACTCGTACATAGGATTTCCAGTGAAAACTAGATGTATTAGTGATCATTGCAAGGCAGCCTATGTAACATGATATAAGCCAGGGGGAGGAATATCAATTTTAGGCGGAAAAGCTTGGGTATGTTTGGTTTAAAGAGATAAACTATTTTTCATCATAACTCAAGAGTGTTCATCCCAACATATAGGAGAATGTGAGGGGGGAGCAAAAATTAGAACAAAATTCCACAATTTTGACCAGAAAACATTTCTTTCTTCAATCCTACTGTCTAACGATATCTCAAGCTTTTTTACGGCAAGAAAAATTGATGGTTGGCTAACTTCCTTGAACGAAAACAAGGGACTTCCCTTCCATCGATCATAGAAACTCGTTTTATTCTGATTTTTCTCTCGTTACAGTGTTGCTGGTTTTCCATTAGCATAAACAAAGTGTATTACTTGAAGTATGTGAAAAGTTATTCAAAAGTTCAAAATGAGTTCAATTTTACTCTGCGCTACTGTCAATTCATTCTCCCCCCGTTGAGTCAATCTCAACAGAAGGCAACAGAAGCAACCTTTGCCACTGCTCGCTTATACTCGCCACTCGTCGTTCGAACTGTCACCACTCTCACAGCACCGTCTTCGCCTGCATTGCATTGCATTATCATCTACTACACGCAGAAAAAAATATTTTAAGCGTAATAATATTTGACGTAAATGCAATAAGAATTTCATGTTGTTTTGGCTGCAAAAAGAAATCATTATTGTTTCAACAATCCAGTATTGTTGTCCCTTAAAACCCATGGATTGTTAAATCAAAAAGAAAATCTTTTCGAATTTACAAGAGCTTTCATGGTTTTGACGTAAGCTGTCAAATTTGGCAGCTGGGTCAACAAGAAAATATGTTTGTTTTTAAAAGAGATTTCTTGTTGATTCAATCAAATTTATTTTATGAAGGCTGACAATTCACGCAGTAGAAATAACAATATGTTTATTGATTCAAAAATAATGTCGATTTTTTTTTTGTGTTTTGTTTTCTTTTTGCAACAAACAGAATTGCAATTGAATTTTTGAGGCATAAAATCACTGATCACGCCTTCCTTCGGGAAGGGAAGTAAAGCCGTTGGTCACCGGTTCATGAGTTGATGGGTCGATATGTAGGGTCCAGGTGTGGGAGGTGCATTCCTGGCGTCGGGAGCATTGGTACTCAGTACGGAAAACAAGATCGACTTAAAAATTGATTATATTTAACAACTGCAGCTTCAACTGCAGCTTACTTGCTTACCTCAAGTCTCAAGATTTTCGGAAATCTCGTACTTATTTCCCGAAATTCACAATTAAAAACAATACTTAATCAAATGAGAAATTTGTTGTTATTATTTACATTTTTGTCCGGGTGAAAACGAGGGAATAGTTGGTAGTTATTTTTGTATTCATGGCCCGGGGAATAGACACAGCAAATAAATGCTAAATTAAAATTAACTATTGTTGGCTTAATAATAGAATATAGTTATTTTTACAATAGTTGCAATTGAAAAGTGGCTTATTAAAACAAAAAGAATCTTATGTTGAATTTATTTGAATAAGTTTTATAGAAACAATAAAATGCAATATAATTTCAACCGGAATTGTTTGTTTAAATACAACTAAAGTTTTGTTTGGTTCAATGCAAACAATTTTCTGTCCGTGTAGAACGACCATTGCACCGACCTTGTACTCCTTCACTCCGCTGTTCAATTTCTGGCGTCCCTGGAGGTGGTGAAGGTGACCACCTGCGCTAAAAGTGCTGTTGCATCTGCTGCCACTTGTTCAGACGTCCTGCATTTTCATCCTCATACGCTGGTTCCGGTAGTGCTACACCAGAGTGACCGATTAAAAAATGTGCCGGCGTTAGCAAGGAATAGTCGCTTGGATCATCCGACAGCGTAAACAAAGGTCGCAAGTTAAGAATGGCCTCCGTTTGAACCAAAACGGTGCTCATGTCATACGTAAGCCTGGTCTCACCAACAGTTTTCTTCGGTATTTCATGGATTTCACCCTCGCTTCCCAGATTCCGACAAAGTTTGGGCTTCTGGGGGATGAAATGCCAGCGGATGCCTTTTACGCTACAGAACTCCTTTACTTTCAGTTGATGCTGCTGATCTTCAAACAACTCCATCAGAGCAGCTAGTTCATGATTGGCACGGACAAAAGTAGTACACAGATAAAAATTCTGAACTTTAATCAACTTGGAAACAATGTTGTTTACAACAATGGGCTATTGTATACAATATTTGCTACATTACATTAAATGTCTCAGAACTTTACATGCTATATAATGTACACTTATATAATATGTGACGCTCCATTTATGTGCATCATACTGAACAGAAATTTACACTACATTTTCCAACTGTGTAGCGTTATCACTGTGGATGTCACTCGGCAATCCTCGACAACTGGAAAAAACGTTGCAATGCAGCAATGAATGTGTCGGTCAATAGGCTTGAAATTAGTTCGAAATGGATGGCTTTCACTTCCATACACACGAAGACGACCACGTATGCCTTATACAGCTTCGTACTCCGACCTCCCATTTTCAACATAAATGGACCAGCATAGTCAATACCAACCTTGGAGAATGGTGGTGCTTGATTGACTCGAGATTCTGGAAGATTTCCCATGAACTGACCAAATTGTATAGAACGCTGCCTAGCACACAACTGATATCTAGAAACGATTTTCTTGATTGCCAACCTTAAGCGCACCGGCCAGTAACGTTCGCGTACGATAGCTAACAATACATTCTGTCCAACATGAAAATGTTCCAAATGCAGTCTACGTATGATTGCCTCCGTGACGTGATTCTTCTCCGGTAGCAACACCTGCCATCATAAGGAAAGGCCGAATATTTCAATCGGATTAATCGATCGTCTCCCAGGTGCCAGGTTCCGCAATGGATGCCGCTGAATGGCATTCTCATGCAGTTGCTGAGTCTATCAAGTACTATAGCCGGACAACATGTCATGACCGCCAACACTACTGTTTTCATCTCCAGCCTAGTCTCCAGCTGATTATTCCAAACTTTCAGGATCACTCGATGTTGGATGGGAATTCCATAATAACGGAGAACCATTCCACCATAGTTTCCTTTGCAGAAAATCCTGTGGCAATTACCCCTTGAAATTACATCTGCTGGATGTCGTCCCATTGTATGTATCCCCACTGGTAATCTTGAGTCAGTTCCACTATCGCGACAACACGGTTGGCGACGAATTGTTTCAGTGCTAGCGGAGATTTCTTCAGCCAACACAAAACAATTTGAGAATCGCACCATAACTTCACGACATCGAATCGGATTTGCATTGCCGACACCACCTTTTGCACCAAAAGCAACGCGCCGCCATAAAGTTCGAGTCGTGGAATTGTTGACGGTTTGAGTGGTGTCATGCAGATTGAAGAAGATTGTCCCATCCTTGTTGATGCTCCGAATATACCATATGCTCCATAGGCACGCTTTGAGGCATCCGAAAACCCATGGAGTTCTATCGTCACAGCTTCCTCTTGAGTTGCACAACGCGGTTTCCGTATTTGATTCACAGCTGGAAGTTGATGTCGAAACTGTTTCCATCTCTGCAGCAGTTCTTCAGGAAGTTTGTCATCCCACTCAAGACCAAGACGTCAAATGTCCTGCATCACCAATTTCGCCGAAACAATAATCGGACTCAAGAATCCAAGAGGGTCGAAGAGTTGTCCTATTTCCGACAGCACCTTGCGTTTCGTTACCTTCACATCCCAACTGACCAGGGCAGTCCGGAACAAAAAATAATCTTCTTGTGGATTCAAGATGAGGCTCAACGGTTTGATGCTGCTGTTGATCCCGGTGTCGTCGAAGCTAAGCTGCTTCTCCTGGAGTTCAGCAGGAATTACTTTTATGCCCATCCCAGAAGCCAAGAAAACAACCCGTGAAGTTATCAAGTTCCGGTCAATAGCCTTGACATGCTGTATGACCAAGGTCCTGGAGCGAATGGTCAACAGGAGGCTAAAGCATTTCCTTGAAGCCAAAAACCTGCTAGACCATTGACATCACGCCTTCCGTCAAGGGAACGGAACGTCAACTTATTTCGCAACATTAGGGGAGGTCCTCAAGAGTGCCAACGATAGCGGTCTCCACACCGAGATCGTCTCGCTGGATATATCAAGCTTGACTTGAAAACCCTTCGTCTTAGAGCAGCTTGTCAACTGGGGCCTGTGTGGACCCATGGTCCACTTCATCAAAAATTTCCTGACCGATCGTTCTTTCAGAGACGCAGTTGGCAACACGAGGTCACAGCTTTTCAGAGAAGAGACGGGCGTCCCACAAGGTTCAGTTATCGCCGTTACCCTCTTCCTTGTGGCCATGAACGGAGTTTTACATTTTCATGTATGCTGACGATGTACTTATCGTAACTACCGGCCCAACAGCAGCACGTAATAGGATCAAGGCCCAGGCAGCAGTCTCCGCTGTAACCAGGTGGGCCAGCGTGGTATTCTTCCAGCTTTCCGGCACGCTTTAGTCTTTCAATACTACACAGCTTGCTGACCAACTATTTAAAATCTTGCCATTACTGCATTAAATACTTTAAATCCACTCTTAATTTCAATAAAAACTTTGATTACTCAAAAAATTTTATGCATAAAATATTTTCAATTTAGTTAAATTATTTTTCATTACATAAAATATCGTTAATTATTTGTTAATTACTTTCAATACCGCTTAAAGTATTTTAATTCAAATTATTACTGTCTTCAAAGAATTTAAATTATTACGATGTATTTTAAATATCACGCACTTATATCTGGAAGGGCGCACCCCTCGCGGTCCGTATTCAGGGGGTACTTGTCGACCGGTCCATCAACTTCGAGCAGCAC